GACTCCCGAGGTCTCCCATAAGCCTCAAAATTCGATTCAGTCTAATCTTTTGAAGAAACAACCAAACATTTCGGAGGAGCAGGAACTAACGTCGACACCTGCAACCAGTTGTACAGACACTTACTGCGCCAGCTCGAAAAGGCACTGGGCGGACGACACTTCGCTATTTTGATGCTAGCAGTAGCGACGCGTGCTTCCTGGCTAGGAACAAAGCGACGAACTCTTTGCAAGCGACTGATCTCCATCAAGTGTGCCAGGTACAAACAAAGGTATGAGACGAGCTTCCACCGCACAAGAAAGTGTTCGGCTCGGGATGCACATCCAATGTACGAAATTGAACGATCAATCTATTTCCAAAGCTTCCGCCCAAGCTGAGTCGGAAGAGTGTTTCTGGAAACGTGGTCTCTTGCCGAAAGCGTGGGTCGAGGTCGAAGACACCCGCGCAGCGAGCATTGGCGCGTGACAGATCCGATCGCGTTCGCTGGATTTGGACAAGGGACCGCTGCGAATCTTTCCTTCATTTTCGGCGACGCCTGTGGAGGTAAAGCAACTCACTCGCCTGATCTTCGTCGTTTCGGGTAAGGGCTGGATGATGATATGCGCATCACTATCGGCTTGTGGGGAGCTCTGCCTGGTCCGAGACATACCGTGGTCCGAAAGGAAGTTTACCGTTTGTGGTTCGTCCTGCGGGAAAGCCACGGGCACGTCGTTCACATCGCCGACAACTCCACAGTGTGCACGGGCTGGTACGAAACTCGGGCGCAGACCATCCAGCCCAAATGAAGACCTCTGGTGGAATTTTGACGTTGAGCTCGGACAAGATGCGCATTTAGAATGCACCGTTTTTTTTGTTCGTGTTGTTTTTGGTGGTATATATATATACATTTCTCTCTTACGAACAAAACACATAAACCGTGTATATTTACACTGGTGAAGTGCTTGAGGTCGAAGCTGTGTCCAAGCGCAGGCAGCGCAAGAATATCAAGCTCGCTCGCCCACCTGTTGTCAATGCGTGTGTGTGCGTGTGTGAGATATATGTTTTCCTCGTCGCACTGCCTCGGAAACAACGGGCACACATGTTGTAGATATACCGGGTCGACCTCTTTCGCCTGTAATGCCGAATGGCTGAACTCAATGTTTCGATGTGAATAACGAGGACGGCGTCGTTCAGAGACCTCCTCTTGGGCAACGAGTGCACATCTCGGGGGGGAAAACTCATGACACACCCACACACACACACGTTGGCGTATCACATGGGGTTGGGGCTTCGGTTCTGCGAGTTGTGTGGGTGTTTTGCAGCGCGGCAACTTGCACAACTGAAGAAACCATGCAGCACAATAGTCAATGGCAACCGGTCCAATTCTCTAGATCGGATTTCTCGAGGGCTGTGGCCGAAAATCTGCAGCAAGACCGAGCAAGCCAGTCGTAAGAAAGAACCAGTTAAGCTGCTTCATTTAATAACCCACACAATCGCAATACCCGTAACTCTGCAATTCCTCCTCCTCCTCCTGTTCCTCCTCCTCCCCCTCCTCCCTCTCCCCCCCCCCTCCTCCTCCTCCTCCTCCTCCTTCTCCTCCTCCTCCTCCTCCTCCTCCTCCTCCTGTCTATTTGACGTTAGGCCGAAAGGTAAACATCAGCGGTGGGGCTGCTGCGTCCCGCAGCATCACGCATCCTTGACAGAGACGGACGCGAAACACATCCAAAAGGACGAGTGCGAGGCAATGTTAGTGCGATCTTCGACAGTTGCGCTGAAAAGAGCGTCGAACAGGGGAGTGCAGCTGGACACAGAACGCAAATAGCAAGGGGAAGCGCAGTGTCGAGGACCTGGCCCACCCTCCCCGCATCTAAACCCCCATCCGCCCCAACATACGAAGACTCTCAACGAGGGTAAATTCCAGAGCCTATGATGCGATGCTCTGCTTAAAGCGGCGCTGTGCGTAACGAAAAAGAGCTCTGTGTGGTCTGCTCTCCATGGCTGGCATTCGGACGTTGCTGGAAACTCTCTGGCGCGAGCTATGTCTTTGCAAGATGTGCCATCGGTGACACCATCAGTAGAAGGCCTCCGCCACCACCGTGGCAGACATCATCAACCTCCTCCTCCAGGCTCCTCATCCACCCTCCTGCTCTTCCCGACCCCCTCTAGCAAGCGTGGCCCCTACCGATGGCCTACAATGCACAGGGCCTAGGTTACGATGCAGGGAGCTCGACCTTGGGCAATGTCAAGGTGCCCGTCGAGCTGGAGTGCCATCGCTGCAGACTGAAACGGTGCTGATTCAAGGTCTTAGTGCTGTTCCCTCCCTGGGGGTTTTGACACAGTGGCTGAGCGAGTGCGACTGGGTCACTGTGGCCACCAATCCACCAAGACACATCCACCCAACTCCCGACGATCCAATCGAAGCGGCTCTAAAGTTTGAAACCCTCACCGAAGGAAGACGCAAAGTGCAGGCACGTCAGCACGCTTCACAAGAGTTGCCAGAATGATTACTACTACTTGCGGCCAAACAACAAACATGGTATGATCTTAGTAGCTTGTGGAACTGGTGGGCAACGTGTGCGTGCAGCTCCTCACCACCCATCTGCCTCAAAACTCGTGCCCATCTAAAACTCCAGTAAACTGTAACTAATGAGAGATATCATCGGATGAAAACCTCGAGCAAACCACCAACGATTTCTGGACATCCTCCCGCGCCGGCTGGCGGTGGCCCAGAGCAAGCGGGAGACGCTCCAAATCACACTCCTCCTCCCCCCCACCCTCCCCTCACGCCCCCACCTCCACCTCCTCCCTCCTGCTCTCACCGAGGGCCTCCGTGCCACGAGAAACATGACACTTGGTATGCTGTTGGAGTAATGACTGTTGGGGAAAGGCGTCGGGCACCCATCTTCATCCTCACCTTCTCTCATCATCTTCCAGGACACGCGCCATACGTTTTTTCCCAACCATCCTGTGGTGTTGGGTCCTCGTTTTGTAAAGACGGTTCCCGCGTCTCCTCCCCTCCTCCTCCTCCCCCTCCGCCCTCCTCCCGTCATCATCGTCGTCATGGTCATCGTCATCGTCGTCGTCATCATCATCGTCCTCATCATCGTCACCATCATCGCCATCAGCTTCGGCATCAGCTTCGGCACGCCCCACACACGTTTCGTGGCCCCATAGGGAGCTCCACCGAAGGCCCCAATGCTGCCGCCCGCATGCGTCCCGCACACCCAATTCGGCACACACCTCACACGTTTCGTGGCCCCATGGGGAGCTCCACCGAAAGCCCCAGTGCCGCCGCCCGCAGGCGTCCCGCACACCCAATTCGGCACACCCCTCACACGTTTCGTGGCCCCATAGGGAGCTCCACCGAAGGCCCCAATGCTGCCGCCCGCACGCGTCCCGCACACCCAATTCGGCACACCCCTCACACGTTTCGTGACCCGATAGGGAGCTCCACCGAAGGCCCCAATGCCGCCGCCCGCATGCGTCCCATACGCCCAATTCGGCACACCCCTCACACGTTTCGTGATCCCATAGGGAGCTCCACCGAAGGCCCCAATGCTGCCGCCCGCATGCGTCCCGCACGCCCTATTCGGCACACCCCTCACAAGTTTCGTGGCCCCATAGGGAGCTCCACCGAGGGCACCAATGCCGCCGCCCGCATGCGTCCCGCAAGCCCAATTCGGCACACCCCTCACACGTTTCGTGGCTCGATAAAAAAGGGCTCCACCGAAGGCCCCAGTGCCGCCGCCCGCATGCGTCCAGCACACCCAATTCGGCACACCCCCCTCACACGTTTCGTGGCCCCACAGGGAGCTCCACCAAAGGCCCCAATGCTGCCGCCCGCATGCGTCCCGCACACCCAATTCGGCACACCCCTCACACGTTTCGTGGCCCCATGGGGAGCTCCACCGAAGGCCCCAGTGCTGCCGCCCGCATGCGTCCCGCAAGCCCAATTCGGCACACCCCTCACACGTTTCGTGGCCACATAGGGAGCTCCACCGAAGGCCCCAGTTCTGCCGCCCGCATGCGTCCCACACACCCAATTCGGCACACCCCTAACACGTTTCGTGGCCCCATAGGGAGCTCCACCGAAGGCCCCAGTGCCGCCGCCCGCATGCGTCCCATACGCCCAATTCGGCACCCCCCTTACACGTTTCGTGGCCCCATAAGAGCTCCACCGAAGGCCCCAATGCTGCCGCCCGCATGCGTCCCGCACACCCCTCACAGGTTTCGTGGCCCCATAGGGAGCTCCACCGAAGGCACCAATGCCGCCGCCCGCATGCGTCCCGCACACCCAATTCGGCACACCCCTCACACGTTTCGTGGCCCCATAGGGAGCTCCACCGAAGGCCTCAGTGGCTGCGCTCACATGCGTCCCCGCCACACATCCCGGCACACCCCTCACACGTTTCGTGGCCCCATAGGGAGCTCCACCGAAGGCCCCAGTGGCGGCACTTACATGCGTCTCCGCCGCCCATCCCTGCACCCCCCCCGCATGTTTCGGGGCCCCATAGGGATCTGCACTGGAGGCCCCAGTGGCGGCCCTCACATGCGTTTCCGCCACCCAGGTCGGCACACCCCGCTCGTGTTTCATGGCCCCATAGGGAGCTCCACCGAAAGCCCCAATGGCACCCATATCGGCTCACCCCTCACACGTTCCGTGGTCCGATGGGGAGTTGCACTGAAGATGAAACCCACAACTGCGGTACTCACAACTGCAAATGGTTGGGTTCTTAGCCAGGCTACTTTGTCTTTTCTATTCCTCCTCTGCCCATCCACCCACCCTCCACCACAGAGACCAAGATGGAGCCGCGCGACCGCATGACAAACTGGCGGCGGGGTTTGGTCATCCTCCCGCAGCGCAGCGGCTGTCTGTGGAGATCGCGGAGGCCAGAACAGTGGCCAGAGCGGTCCTCCTCCTCCTCCTCCTCCTCCTCCTCCTCCTCCTCCTGACGACGCTGACGCCGACGCCGACGCCGCCGACGACGAGGCCAGCGCCCAGCGGCGAGGGGCGGGCGGATCGCCTGCGCCACGGGCTCCGCGCCACCCCGGAAGCACCGGACCTCGCTCTCGCAGGAGGGGCACTCGCCAGTCAGGACCTCCTCGGGGGGCGAGGAGCGGTCAGACTTTCCTCGTTCAACACCCTTCTTCCCCTTCGGGGACGGGTTTCCCCCTCCCCCTCCCCCCTCCCCCTGGGTCTAGAGGGGGGGTTCGCCAGGGATTAGAGCGTCCATAGCGGCCTCGGCGAGGAAGCCAAGATCAGTGATCTTCCTAAGGTCTTGGCCACACTTTGGCCTCTTGAGGGGGACGCTAACGTGATACGGCCCCTCCTTTGATCGATCTCCTCCAAGATGGCCATAAGATGGCCCCCCGAGCTCCCAAAGGTGCACCAAGAGGGCTCCAAGAGGTGCCCAGGAGGCCCCCCGAAGTCCCCAATCTGCTTCCAAAAGTCCCTCAAGAGATTCCCAACACCACTCCCCAAGAGGCCCCCGAGAGGCACCCAAGACGTCCCAAGAGGCCTCGGCGAGAAGACCAACATTATTCTCTTGCACAGGGTCTGGAGCTCCGACCATATCATTCCGCGTCGCACACCCCCATACCACCGCGTCCCCTGCGCCAAAATGGGACCCCCGCGCCGTGGCTCTCTGCCCCGAGCCCCCCCGCGTCCCCAGCGCCCCAGCGGGAGCCCCGCCCACTGCCCCATCCGCCACGAACGCGTTATTCCGCCCAGCGCCACAGTGGGACCCCCGCGCCGTGGCTCTCTGCCCCGAGCCCCCCCGCGTCCCCCAGCGCCCCAGCGGGAGCCCCGCCCACTGCCCCCTCCGCCACGCACGCTTTATTCCGCGTCGCGACGCACACCACCTCCCCCACCTCCCTCCCCGCGTCCCCAGCGCCCCAATGGGGGCTCCGCCCCGTGCCCCCTCCGCCCCGACAGTTTTATTCCGCGTCGCCACGCACACCACCTCCCCCCCTTCCCCCCCGTCCCCAGCGCCCCAACTGGACCCCCGCCCCGTGGCCCTTTGCCCCAAGCCCCGCCCAATGCCCCCTCCGCCACGACCATTTTATTCCGCGTCGCGACGCACACCACCTCCCCCCCTCCTCTCCGCGCCCCCAGCGCTCCAGTGGGACCTCCGCCCCGTGCCCCCTCCGCTCCGAGCACTTTATTCCGCGTCGTGACGCACGCCCCCCCCTCGCCACCTGGGATTTGGGCCCCTGGGGGCGATGTCTTGCCCCCTCTTCCCCCCTCCTCCTCCACCTCCTCCTCCTCCCCCTTCCTCTTTGTGCAATGCACTTGCTGGTTTTTCTTTCCAAGGTTTTGGCCACATTTTGGCCTCTTGGGGGGACCAACTTCTAATTTGTAATGACCCCCCTTCCTTTAATCGATCTCCTCCAAACTGGCCCTGCGATGGCCTCCGAGGCTTCGAAGGGTGCCCCAACACGGCCCCAAAACGTGCCCAGGAGCTCTAAAAACCTCTCATGAGGCCACCAAGAGGCCCCCCAAAGGCTCCCAGGAGACCCCCCAAACGCCCCCGAAGTCCCCCCGAAACAGCCCGACGCACCAAAAAGGCCACGGCGAGAAAACCAACATTACTGATTTTACGAAGGTTTTGGCTACATTTTGGCGCTCGGGGGGAACCTAATGTACTACGGCCTCTCCTTTGATCGATCTCCTCCAAGACGGCCCCAAGATGGCCCCCGAGGCTTCCAAGGGTGTCCCATGAGGGCCCCGGGAGGCGCATAGGAGGCCCCCTGAGGCCCACAGAAGGCCCCCAAGAGAGGGCCTAAGAGACCCCCAAGAGGCCCCGATCGACTCCCCAGACCGCCAACAGACCTCCAAGATCCCACAACTGGACTCCAACAGGCATCCAGGAGGCTTCTGGCCTTTCTGCTCGCCCTCCTCGTCCTCCTCGTCCTCTTCCTCCTCCTCCTCCTCCTCCTCCTCCTCCCTCCCTCCCTCCCTCCCTCCCTCCCTCCCTCCCTCCTCCTCCTCCTCCTCCTCTCCTCCTCCTCCTTCCTCCTCTCCTCCTCTTCGTCCTGCTCCTGCTCCTGCTCCTGCTCCTGCTCCTCCTCCTCCTCATCCTCCTCCTCTTCCTCCTCCTCCTCCTCACCCTCCGCCCCTTCATCCGCTGATTCCTCCTCCTTCCTCCTCCCTCCTCCCCCTTCCCGTTCTCCTTCTCATGCACTCCCGTTTTCTCCTATCCACCCTTAGGGTACGACGTCTTACCCAGCCCTTGATTCGACTGCGTGCTCCACTACGCCCCTGATCAACGCAACTCGTCAAGGCATCGTTTCTTGATCGGCTGGTGCGGCTACGCGAAGCGTCGGTAATAGCTGTTAACGCCTGATTCAAGTGAGAAATAACTGCACTCGCCAAGATGTCAACCTGGCGCTTGAACTCTGCATCGCGCGCTTCCTCCTGCTCCCACTCCAGGAAGTCCTTGAAAGTTGGGTTACGCTGAGTCAGCAGGCGCTCAGCACGACGTATTCCTTGTTCTGAATCTGGCTCACGGCGACGGGAATAACCACGATCACGATCACCACGGCCACGGTCGCTACCGCGAAAACCGCGGCCCTCGCGGCTTTCGCGCCAAGCACGATCCCCGCGACTATTTTTGCCACGGTCGTCTCTGCGGCGACCCTGGGGCTGAATGCCTTTGCTCTGGCCGCCGCGGCCCGTGCCACTCCGCGAACATTGGTCAGCACGGGCAACAAACCGAACTAGGGATAACTAAAACTTACGAGCATTGCACATAAACGACGAAGGTTGGAGGGAGAGCACGCGTTGAACAATGAAAGCTATCGGGTACCCAAGCTTGAATAACCAAAGCCCACGCTCGAGGACCACACTCGACATGCGTGCTTTCCAAAAACCAGCCGCGCGACCAGCCGCGAGACGACTAAGCAACGGCGGGTCCTCGAGAATAAATGTGGTAGACGACCGCGCCACGGAGTACTGAGATTCTGATGAGGCCCCATTATTGCACAAACGCTGCTGGTCCTTCAAAGCCCAGCTCATTGAACACGAGTGAAGCCGTGCTTCTCACTTCCCCCGCTCCAGCACGCCACCGTCAAGATACAGAGAAGCGGCATCATAGTCAGTCGGACACCCCGACGACTGAAACGCGGCCGACACTGGCTCCGACAATCTTGTCCCCTTGCGCGCTTCCATGCAGTCGCCGCAACAATGCAAACTGGGAGACAAGGCGGCATCCACATATCAATGCTACGTCAGAGCAGACTTGAGTGGAGGCTCCGATGGGAACCCCAAGGCCTCGAGCTTCGAGACCTCCTGGACCGTTGAGAACTCCTCATGGGCAAGGCGAACGGAAACTGCCGCGCTGACAAAATATCCCCCCAATGCACAGGCCCTGGCGCTTGAATGTCATATTCCCAACAACCAGATCGATAACAGCTCGGACAGCGCGGCCAATGACTGTCCACGGCCGAGCAACAATAATCGACGACATATCGATGCTGCGTCGCATGCAAGAGTGAGCTGGGAACCCACTCTTCCAGTCGGCAGAATCTGAACACAACAAACGCTTCGACTTCACAAGAGCATCGTGGGAGGTTGTGCGTCGCGGCGATGCACGCCGCGACGAACGCGAAATAACCCAATGACATCCAACAACGCGCGAGCTTCATACCAAACAAGAACATCACGAAACCGTTGGGGCGGATAGTGGCGCCATGGAGCTGCATCCACCAACGTGAACAAGGTGCGGGCCGATCGCCCCATCCTCCATCAGCCAAGCCTTCGTCGCATCCTTATCGCCCCGAGCTGCAGCTCTACGCTACCGAGCAATTCAGAAAAAACAATCCTCCAGATCAGACCGAAGCCCAGGAATGAGTGAACAATCGAGAGCTTGAGCCTCATGCGTTAGGGCGCCTCGAACACGGCGCCGAACGCGATGGTGAAACCGATGGCGATGACACCGATCCGGCCGCGAGCGCTGCCGCGAGCGGGATTGCGAGATGGCGTCGGGCCTGTTACATGGACCACTGAACGCGCTCAACACACGGGAGATAGCACAACATCCAAGCCACGAGTTCGATGCATTCTAATAGTGAATGACACAGTCCACGAAACATCCTTTTCACATGAAATGTATGAACCCAGACAGGACTCCTTGCAGGTAGCCAGCACAGATGAAGGCAGAGCCACCGCCGCGCAGGTTCACGACGCATCTTCTCCAACGCAAGCTGGAACAATCGGCGAAGCAAATGAAGACGCCGAAAGAAATCACGAGTGATGACTCCAATAATAGTCGACCCTGGTGGTAATCTGAACCGGCCCCCGCATCCGATTGCGATGATCCTTCGCAGCAAACTTGGATGAAAAAACACCCATCCTCGTCTTGATAGAGCCAGCCAACTCATCAATATACTCAGCCTTCGGCCGAAGAAACCAAGACCTTGGATATGCAAGGTCTGCGTTCTTAGAAGCACCGCAAGCCAGTCGCAGGTTCGGGTGCAAAGGGGTTCCAACCCACCAGGTTACGAAGGCCGATCATGCCAGTATACTGAACCATTAACAGAAGGTGGAACACCTACAAGTTCCGTAAACCTTTACGAAGAAAGGGATGGATTTTCCATGGCTTCACAAGTTTCTTGCATGAAACATCGCGGGGCATCGTCGACCGGCGCGCCGAAGGTGTTGGGCGGCCCCGCATCCTCGGGAAAGTTCGAGCACGTGGTTCAGGACGCTCAGGACGGATACGGAAGCCTCGGCGCTGGATATTCTATAGTGGAGGCAATAATCTGCACCCAGAAGCTTGGGCTGGGGCCTCTAAATTAACGCCCTCTCAGTGGACAGCGCCTGGGCGTCAGTCGGACACCGCGCCACGGGAAAATAATCAATGCTGTCAACCGGCTTCCCGAGAGAAACATACCCAGACAACGCAGGATCACGGCGATAGTCAAAACCTAACAATGCCTTGTAGTTGTCAGCACACCCCTCAGAGGCCCATGACGGCCACGAGCCCGAGCAACATTCGCCTTTCCAGCATGAACATTACGGTGGCCAAGTAGGACGTAGACGGCCAACCCAGCTCCAACACACTGACGCGAGTCAGATGGCAAGTTGCAAAATGCGAAATGCGAAACGTCATCTCGCTCGGAATCGTCACCGCCGCGCGTCGAGCCCAACGGGGGGGGTCGCCTTTCTGCAGCGCCAACAAAGCAAGGCACACATGACCATGTCGTCCATATCGTCCAACACGACGGTGGTCTGGAACAGTCGCTTGACTAATCCAAAACATCGCCTCGCAAATGCCAAGCAATCACTTCCGAAGGCCAAGCCTGGCACGACGTAGGTAGGCCTCGGCCAACGAATATACACTCTGGCATCTCACTGAGAAAGAATACTGGGAGAATATAGGATACAACGGAAGGACAACAACTTGTAATAAACCAGCCACCCACCGAGTCCACAACACGGAAGAACACTCTGCCCAATCGCGCTTCTATGGTACGAACCAGCCACACTTACAGCACGTCCAAAGAAGAGAAGGTACACCGCGCCAGCCATGAGGACCAGAGCCAACCCACGCCCCACACGAAGTCCACACGGCACAAGGTACTGTAAATATAAAAAGTGTGATTAATGAACAGGTTGACGGCAGCTGTCAACAGGAGTACACGCCAGTCGTACGATGATTGTACCCCTGCGCCAACAAACACACATGATGCTTCTCTTCTGCAGCACTCGTTTGCCCGCTCGCGGCCTCGGCTGCTCTGCGCTGGGGTCACGTCTCTGCTGGTTGGGCGCCCGACCCCAACAAAACGTCCAGAGCCACACACGCCTGCGTAACGGAAACGAGAAGTGATGATGATGATAGCGACGGTGATGGCGATGATGATGCTGATCATGCTACTGCTGATGGTGATGCTGTTGATGGTGGCGACGATAGTGATGATTCTGTTGGTCATGATGATTCGGGTGCTGACGATGGTGATGATGGTAACGGTGGTCGTGGTCGTTGGGATGGTGAGGCTAATGATAACGGCGATGAGGCTCTTTCTGAAGTTGACGAAGAGGCTGAATCTGATTATTTCTTAAACGATGATGAGGGGACGTGTGCGAACCAGGCGCTATCTTCAGGGGTCAGGATGAGGGCTACGACGTGGAGGATGAGGATGATGATCATTCTGATGATGGTGCTGATGCGCAGGAGGAGGGGGAAAAAGGGAGGAGAGAAGAGGGGGAGGCGAGGGCCAGGAGGGAGGGGGAGGGGCAGGAGGGAGGTGAGTGATGCAGGGTGGCAAGGGCTGAGGATGATGGAGATGATGGCCATGCTAGTTAGGAGGAAGAGACAGAGGAGAAGCAAGCTGGGCCAGGCGTGCGTTCGGCGCTAAGGTCATGGCCAAGCGGATCGCTCCCCCTCCTCCGTCTGCTGCTCCCTCGTCCTCCTCCTCCTCCCTTCTCCCTCCTCACTTCTCTTTCGCCCTTCTCCTTCTCCCTTCTCCATCTCCTCCTTCCCCTCCTCCTCCTCCTCCTCCTCTTCTTGCTCCTTCTCCTCCTCCTTCTCCTCCTCCTCCTCCTCCTCCTCCTCCTCCTCCTCCTCCTCCTCCTCCCCTTCGTCCTCTCCATCCCCCTGCCCGTCCTCCTCCTGCTGCTGCCGCGCAACGCCTGCGAACGGCGATCCCATCACCTCCACCCGCTCGCGCCCGCGCCGCGCGCGGCGGCGACATTTTGAACAAATGACTGTTGTTTCCCAACCATCCTGTCTTGAATTGGATCCTCGTCTTGAATCCGCAACGTTCCGTTTCCTCACCCTCATCCATTCCCTGCCCTCCGCATGTCCACTTCGGCGTGGCCCCATACGGAGCTTTACCGAACTCCCCAGCGGCAAGGTCCCTGGGGCGTTCGGTGGAGCTGCGTATGGGACCACGAGCCGTGTGAAGCGTGTGCGAAAATGAGGCGGTACGCCATGCGGACCCTCCCGCTAGGGTGGAGCTCCTTATGGGGCACGAACCATGTGAGGGAAATGCCGACATGAAGCGGTATGTTATGCGGACTTTCCCACTGGGGCCTTCCGTGCAGCTCCTTACGGGGCCATGAGGCGTGTGAGGGGTGTGCCGACATGAGCATGCGGAGGGCAGAAGGAGGAGGGGGAGGAGGAAGGTCAGGACGCGGGACGCTGCGGGGCTCAACCCAACACATCATGGGTGAGAAAAAAAAGGCCGAGCAGGTCACCAAGCGAAGCCGACAACGGGACACCGTCGGATCGGGAGATACACCAGGGATCTCCGAGGTCCGGCGGCTCTGGAGGAAGCTCCTGGCGCCGCGGCCGTCCCAGAGCGCTCCGCACCGACATCGGAGCGTCCTGGAGCGCTCTGGAGCGATCTGTCCCGCTCCGTGGGCCGACCGTCATCCGGGGGCCTGTTCCTCGGGGCGGGCCGGGGCCGCTCCGGGAACTGCAGGTCGAGGAAGCACAGCAGCTGCCACGTCAGCGCTGTCCCGAGGACCTGGCAGGATCAGCCAGAGATTGGCTCAGGAGGTTGGGTCCGATCGGACCGTGCACCGGTTCGGGCTGCGTCGGCGCGGAGTCGATCTCGAGGCCGAGCCGACCTCGTCAGGATGCACACTCCACGCCGTGCAGGCATCGTGCCGTCGGGAAGTCGAAATCGGATCGAGCTGGCAGAAGCCGATCGCATCCCAAACACAGTCGAACCTGGGCCATAAGAACCTCCTCCAAGAGCCCGTGAGACCCTCAGCCGGCCAAAACACACACAGAGAACATCCCTGGGCACCCTCCCCAGGATGCACGAGAGGAGATCCAGCAAACACGAAGAACATCAGGATACCCTGCTCGAACCGACCCCGATCTTTTATGCCTCGGCCCGACTACAATATGCATGATACCGGAGAGTAGCCCCAATCATGATCTTTTTAGGGCTATGAGGCTACGGGGCTATAGGGCTATGGGGCTATAGGGCTATAAGGCTATGGGGCTATAGGGCTATATGGCTATAGTGCTACCGGGCACTGGGGCGTGCCGCCGAAATCGGCGCCGCACCTCACCTGACCATATGAATCCGCTACGACCCCTACAGAGGCAAGCACTGATTGGAGAATATCAGCCAGCGTTGACTCCAGATAGATAGAAGGACAGGAGGAGGACGAGAGGATGAGGAGGAGGAGGACGAACGGAGGACGGGAGCAGGACGGGAGGAGGATGGGAGGAGTAAAATCAAGAAAGCGCAAGCAAGCAAGCGGAAGCAAGCAAGCGCAAGCGAGCATAGTCATAGGCATAGGCGTAGGCATAGGAGTTAGGGGGAGGCATAGGCATAGGCATAGGTACAGCCATAGGAATTTGGGGGGCAGCCTAGGAATGGGGGGGGGGTAACGGACCAATTAGTAGGGTTAGAGTTAGAACTCTTACAGGACAAACCTACTTGGAGACCATCGGCACGCCCCAGACAACAATAATCTGATACTGGAGAAAAAACCCAGTCATAATCATTCTAGGGCTATAGGGCTATGGGGCTATAGGGCTATAGGGCTATAAGGCTATGGGGCTATAGGGCTAACTATAGGGCTATAGGGCTGTAGGGCTATAAGGTTATAGGGCTATAGGGCTATAGGGCTATTGGGCTATAGGGCTTTCGGCTATAGGGCTAAAGGCGATACCAGAGCACCCGGGCAGCCCCTGGCACCTCCGCGCACCCCCGCGCACCTCCGGGCACCTCACCCCCGGGCCCCCGGGCCCCCGGGCACCCCCAGGCACCCCGGGGCACCCGGGCAGCCCGGGCGGCCACCGAAATCGGCGACGGACCTCACCTAACCAAATGAATCCGCTAGGACCCCTACAGAGGCCAGCTCTGATTGGGGCACTTGCGGACGCCCTCGGTGGGTTTTTCTTCTTCTGGGCTCGGTGCCGGACCCCTCTCCCTGGGAGCAGTGCGGCGAGCGCGCCCAAAGATCAGGTCGGGCATGTCCTCATACAGGCGGAGTTTGGAGGACAAATAGCACATACTCAAAGATGTGGCAAACAACCAGTCCAGGAAGAATAGAAACACTGTACCCAGACTAGTTCTTGACTATCTTGGGGCAGTCCTCCCTGTAGAGGGACATGTCCGACTTAATTAAGCCCGAGGGGGCAGCGCCGGATGCGCCGCCCGCGGGGCCCCACCGACCTGCCACGAGGAGCACGCGCGGACCTCTGAGAAGGTTCACACAGCAGGCGCAAGCGGTGGGACACTCAAAGGGGCCCAAGGACGCACAGATGAATAGACACAAACCCCGGGATTCGCCATGCTTTCCTCCTATATTTTCTGGGCTTCCCCCCCACTTCCCATATTTCTGGAGTCGACGATTCATCGTGTCTGTGTGTGTGTGTGTGTGTGTGTGTGTTTGTGTGTTATTGCCCCTCCTGGACTTATTTCTTTATCGGGCAGCTGAGAGGGCCGTGCCACGATGCTTGAACTCGCCTGCCGGTGCCAGAGGCCTCACAGACGGGGTCGGAGTAGAGGGGGCTGGAGGCTCGCGCCGCATCGCCGATGCATCGGCGATGCATCGGCGATGCACCGGTGACGCATCGTCGACGTCGGCGATGC